GGATAGAGAGTTAGAAACATCGATGAGCGAGAATCATCGATCAGCTGCCTCTTGTACACCCCCTACGGTGGATGTGCCCTTGACCGGAATCGAACCTGGGACCTTTCAGTCCGAAGGTCGATGCTCTATCCACTGAGCCAAACCAGTTTCGGCTATTGTAGAAATTTTGAAAAATAAAAGAAGCCTGTATTTTAAAAAAGTCTATTTACAATCCTAACCACATAGATGGATATTGAAATTCTCATTGTTTTGTTTGTTTTAAAAGAATTTAAGTAACATAGTCAATATCTTTACCCTGACAGTCTGGTAAGAGCTTGTCTGTAAAACCATTTGAATCTGGTGTCTTTAAGAGTGAGGGGGGTGGTAACATATTTATCCTGTAAATTTGTAGTTCTGTATTAGATACCCAGGCATGTGCACAGTTAACATTATGCCTTTCTCATCACCATGAACTGGATTATGCTTAGTAACAAACTTGAAATCTCAAGGTGTAACACAAGGGACGTTTCCTTTTACTCACGTTACTGTCTCTCAGGTTCCTGTAAGCAGGTGCCCATCAGCCTCACACAGAGTCACCTTCCTCCCCTCCCCCCCATTCCTGGCTGCGGGGCGGGGGTGGGAGGAGGAGCAAGGGGGGGTGAGGGAGCGTGGTGAAACTGTTCATGGTCCCTAAAGGCTGCTGCCAGAAGTAACAGATGTCTCATCCACTCACCTTTCGATGCCTAAACTCAGAAGTAGATCAGGTTTAGAGACACAGACGATTTGGAGGCCCACTTTAAGGAAGAAGATACAAATTACATATATAAAGGCACAGTAGTGAATATTTAGAATGAGAAACGCATTAAATTACAAGTTTAAAAAATGTTCCCTGTCTGTTTTTGCCTCCACTAAGATGGATCATTTTTGAACTTGAGTGTGGTGACCTAATTCTGAAAAAGTATACAAAGTTCATCTGAAATGGACTAGATGTATGTAGTAGATGTATGTCTGAGCAATTCAGATTTTAGATTGCCACTGCATTGTATCACGTATCATCATTTTATGATCAATATTCTTTTTTTAAAAATATATTTTATTGATTTTTTACAGAGAGGAAGGGAGAGAGATAGAGAGCTAGAAACGTCGATGAGAGAGAAACATTGACCAGCTGCCTCTTGCACACCCCCTACTGGGGATGTGCCCGCAACCAAGGTACATGCCCTTGACCGGAATCGAACCCGGGACCTTTCAGTCCCCAAGCCGACGCTCTATCCATTGAGCCAAACTGGTTTCGGCATGATCAATATTCTTACACAGCATACACTGACTTTCTGATGCATATGTGTAGGAGGTTGTCACTGGAACATTAGTTTCTTCAGGCTGTTGCAATGTGTTGGAGGCAGTTTTATGTGCCATTGACTTGGGATTGTCGGACCTTGTCAGTTCAAGATTTGTCAGGTGTGTCACGATGTGAACTGACACATCGGGAGGCATGAACTGTAATCTCCTACACACATGTACTCACTCTTTGTAGTACTGCCACAGGTTTCTGCCTACCAACCCTGGAATGCTAATAAATTTTATTTTATGTGATTCCCAACAAAAAGGGAGACACTGTCGAGTGTGTTTATAATTGCATTACTGCATTATTGAGTCTATTCCCGATAGGGCACAACTTCCATTTAGATATGGATGGAACCACAATTGTCCACTTACAGTATCTTGCATTTGATGATCTGAAGAATTCTCCACAGATTAGCTTCTGGCTCCATATGTCTCAAACCCTGTTTCTCCTTCTTCACCGACATACTTTGTGGCATTGTAGGACCCACTTATCTTGTGACTTTTAGGGCCTGTTTCTTCATTATGATGAGAGATCAAAGCATATCTGGAAGCCATTCTTACGGTGGGAAAGCTATAGTAACCATATGCATGAAAGTGAAAGCTAAACCCCAATTTAACGTATCCCTCATTCAACTTTTAATTTGCTGAATCTCCAAAATGCTTATTCTGTTCCATCACCACCTGGTAAAAGGAGTTAGATAGTCAAGAAGTTGGAGTGGTGAGTGCTGAGTTCAGAAGTTCTGAAGCTTCATTCAGCATCTCAAGGATAAATTCACCTCGGGAAAATCTAGCACAAATCCAACCCCACTAGGTGCCTGCTACTATGTATTGGTGAGTGATACTGTTCATTACAAAAGCCTCCAGAGAGGTCCTGACAGTTGATACAGCATGGACTAGAAAATTTAAAAATGTTTTATAGTAACTTAATCAGCCAACCCCCATCCCTCCCTTCCTACTTTTTGATGCTGCCAATCATACTTAGCCACAATTGTAGAAATCTGACAGCTTATTAATAACAATTTATCTGCTATTTTTGTATGCTTTTTAATTTATTATTATTATTTTTTAGAGAGAGAGGAAGAAGGAGAGAGAGAGAGATAGAGATAGAAACATTGATGAGAGAGAAACATCGATCGGCTGCCTCCTGCATGCCCCCTACTGGGGTTTTAGCCCACCATCCGGGCATGTGCCCTGACCAGAATCGAACCAGCAACCTCCTCGCACATGGAATGATGCTCAACCAACTGAGCCAGGGCTTAATTTTTAAAAACATCTTCTTTAGAATATGAACTAAGGAGCAGGGAATTTTATGTTTGTTCACTGCTATATTGAATGGTCTGTTAGATTTGCATGTTCTTGAAACCATTTTTATTTTAATATTTAAGAATGTAGGTGTTACCTTCCCACACAAATATGGTTGAAGTTAGCATACCAGAAACATTTGTAACTCATCAGTATAGTGTGTTATTTCTTGCCCAAGATTGCTAGCTCCAATTACAGGGGTAAAACAAAGTTTAGGAGTTTCCCTTATATGAACTATTTCTTTGTGAATTGCCTGTAAGTCAGGCATGTAATTCAGGTGGAGAATTAAAGTCTATGGTTCTGTAGATAATAAGGAGCCATTAGGAGAAGCACAAAATATCTTTAACGCGCTGATTATAATAGAAATGTGAAAATACCACATATTGTTAGAAAAAGGTGTCTTTTCTGTGAAAGTATTGGCAGTGCAAAAAGCAGAGCTACCCTTTTCTGTAGGGATGCTAAGAAGCACATAAGGAATTGTATTATGGGTTTTTCGTGGCTCCATGAGCCCCCATTTGTTGGCTGTGTACAAATTATTTTGCTTAGTATCTTGGGAGTAGAGAGAGATGGACTGGCTGTATCCTTCAAAAGCTCAGGAGGCATAATCCTATATAATAAAAGGCTAATATGTAAATCAACTGAATGGTGGAATGACCAATCGCTATGACACACACTGACCACCAGCCGGCAGATGCTCAACACAGGAGCTGCCCCCTGGAGGTCAGTGTGTTCCCACAGGGGAAGCACAGCACTCAGCCAGAAGCTGGGCTCACAGCTGCCGAGTGCAGTGGCAGTGGTGGGGGCCTCTCCTGCCTCCATGGCAATGCTAAGGATGTCCAACTGGTGGCTTAGGCCTTCTCCTTAAGCCATCAGTCGGACATCCCCCAAGGGATGTTTGGGCATCCTCCTTTGTTTGGGCTTCCTTCCTGACTGCGAGAGGGCACAGACCATGCTGAGAGACCCCCCAAATGCACAAATTTCGTGCACTAAGCATAAGAAAGGTAGAATTCAATCACACAGGAGCAAGCTTTCCTGAGAGAGGGTGTAATCAGGTAATGTCTGGCAGGGAGGGACACAATCAGGGAGGGCACGGGGAGGAGGTGGCATTGAGTAGAGCACTGAAAGGCATGAGTGTGTCTACAGTAGGCGGAGAAGGGCCCCAGAACAGCATGTGCTTCCCATGCTTGAATCTTCTGAGGATTTTGTCAGAAATGCAGATTCTACTCTGTAGGACAAGGAAGGGGAAGTAGAGGTTCTGCATTACTAACAAGCTCCCTGGTGATGCTGATGTTGCCGGCTCAAAGGACAGATCTGGAGCCACCGAGCTGCCTCCCTGCATGTCCTTGACCTTTGAGGTGAGGCCTAGACTGGAAAGTGGTGTAGGCTGACTTACGGTAGGTAGTGAGGTGCTTGGCTAAAGAGGTGAAGTAGAGGCCAGGAGCTCATTCTGATCTGGTTTTAGGTGTGAGAACTCCACGCCTTTCTTTGACCGCAGGGCCATTAACTCAGCCTTTGTTTGGGCTTCCTCCTTTTCCTGAATTCTTCTTTTCAGAGTTCACTCGATAATTTCCATTGATACCTGTTTGACTTTCTGTTCTCCAATCTCTTGGGACACATTGCTAGAATGTAACTTTGATCCTTTAGAAAGAAATTGATTCTATTTTGGGTATATTTAACAATGGTTTTATCAACTGTCAGTCTGTGTTTTTGTGATCCGGTCGAATGATAAACTTTTAAAAACCATAGCTCATGAATTAACTAAACGGGCCTCCTTTTTAGAGTAGAGACTATAAATTAGAAACGTGTGCAGACAGTGTCCACTTACTCATGGCAGAGATAGAACTAAAAAATCACAGCTGAAGCCGGTTTGGCTCAGTGGTAGAGCGTCGGTCTGCGGACTGAAAGGTCCCAGGTTTGATTCTGGTCAAGGGCATGTACATTGGTTGTGGGCGCATCCCCGGGGGGGTGCAAGAGGCAGCTGATCGATGTTTCTCTCTCATCGACAGACATTTCTAGTTCTCTATCTCTCTCCCTTCCTCTCTGTTAAAAATCAATAAAACATATTATAAAAAAAATCACAGAGACCTTCTTTTCTGCTTCTTTGCAAGGGCTGTACCATGACAGACTGGGTTCAGTGTACTGTGGTGGGGCTCACTGTCCACACGAGGGACTTGGTGACGGCTCTGTGCCTTTACACTCGCATGTGAGCATTGAACCAGGTCATGCTCCTGACGTGATAACCGTCGTCCCCAAGGGAAACGCTGTGGCTGCACAGGGTGGCGGTGGTGGGTTTTATTGAAACGGGGCAGGCACAGATGTCCCCGGATGTGTTCTAAACCTACATGCACATGTTATGTTTCCAATCTTCTTCCTAGATTTTGGCCCTGATTGCGTTCATCTGCATAGAGACCATCATGGAGTGCTCCCCGTGTGAAGGCCTCTACTTTTTTGAGTTTGTGAGCTGCAGTGCGTTTGTGGTGACCGGAGTCTTGCTGATTCTGTTCAGTCTCAACCTTCACATGAGGATCCCCCAGATCAACTGGAACCTGACGGTGAGTCCAAGTCACCACCCTCCGACCGGGAAAGGGCGGGCTGCTGCTTGGCCCCACGGCAGCGTGGGAACCTCTCCATGCTGTGTTTGGTTCCAGTTCACTGTGGTACTGACATATCCCATTGTAATTCAACTGAGATATGTTACATTTCTTTACTGAGTTGAATAATAACTTAAATGGAATCTTCTCTAATGGCAGGAACATCCTAACAATTACTTTGACCTCTTTGAAGATGTCATTTCAATTTCATAATCTTCTGAGATTAGTGATGTCTAATATGGGAGACAGTAGAATTAATGCATTTTTGCATATTATTCATACCGAACCCAAAAGCCATTTATAAAAGAATTGGTTTGGGAAGAATTGAAAATATGAATGAAAATGGCAATAACTTGCAAAGCCTTGGGATATTATTAAATTCAAAGCAACTGGGAGGACTGGAAGGAAGGTTTAGTGTTTGATCGGTCTGGAGTGGAAATACGTCCTCTTCTCCCTGTGGTTTGGGTTCTTAACCCTGTTTGACAGCTGTACCTTCAATCAGCATGGGAAGCTCCTGGCTGGTCACGCCCAGGCCCCTTTTCCTGGACTTGTGGTGTTTGTCTTTACTGTGCTAAACGAGAGGAAACTTAATAGAATTTGTTTTTCTTGGTATTTCTTTGCAAGTAAGCATGTGCCAGAGCTCAAAGGCAATCGGTGAGGGAAACACAGGCAAGCAGTCAGCTGCCTCAGCCTTCTGTGCCTGTCGGGGGAAGACCCTGTGGGCCCCACAGCGTCTAAGAGGCCAGCAGAGGAGAGGAGGGCGCTGAGACCAGCTGCCTCAGGAGAGCGCCTCTCTCATTGGCTGGTGCAGCACCATGGAGGTGTGGCCCAGGTGAGGGGCTGGGGAGGAGGCCGGAGCTGGTCACCTTGCCTGGCAGGGCCACTCCCATGTGGTCCTATGGGGTGCCCAGAGGAGAGGGTCTTCCTGCAGGATGTTCTCTGTGTTGTTCAGACTCTTTTAGGAGGAAAAATAAGAGCAGAGCTGAACCAGAAAAGTTGATGTCATTGTGAAGACCATGTTGGTTTTGTTTCAGCATTGAACACTGAGAAAAATGTGATTAATTTTAAACTCTAAAACCTCAAGATAGTCGAGGCATTTTGTCTGAGTTTTTATGACAGGTTTTAATGTCTCAGCTATTTTTAAGATAAAGTTTGTGTTATCCGTAGGAAAAGGCTTACAGAGTTATGATAGCGTAGTAAACAGCAAAGAGAACCTCACAAACCTCCCCCGAACAAAATGCAAGCTCTGTGGGTTTTGTTGTTTTGTGTTAGTTGTTAGTTTTTATGTGTAGGCCTCTGATGTTATAAATATTAGCTTGTTCAAATTTGTTTTGAACACTGTACAAATCAAACCTATTTGTGGGCCAGATATGGCCAATAGGCCTGGAGTTAGCGCGCTGTAGGCCAGCTCCCCTTGATCTGTTATTGAGTTATGTGGGTCACACCTGCACTCACTAGTGTGTTACTGAAGGAGGGACTCGGAAACATGGTGTGTGAGGGTGACCTTCCTTTGCTTCTGTTAGCATGGAGGCCTGCAGCGGGTGTTCCAGGGCCAAACAGGAAACACGGAGTGGCTGCGTATGGGACTGCAGGGAGTGGGGACAGCTGTGGCAGACTGGAAAACATGCCTCTTATAGAGTACACATCCCATTAAAAGTATTTTGTTTTATCATTATTATTTAATGTATTTCTTTATTGATTTCAGAGAGGAAGGGAGAAAGAGAGATAGAGACATCAGTGATGAGTGTGAATCATTGACTGGCTGCCTCCTGCACGCCTCCTACTGGGGATGGAGCCTGCAACCTGGGCATGTGCCCTTGACTGGAATCAAGCCTGGGACCCTTCAGTCCTCACTCAGGCTGATGCTCTATCCATTAAGCCAAACCAGCCAGGGCCCATTAAAAGTATTTTTTTTAATTAAGTACCAGTGTTGACTAATTGCTGCTGTGGTAGGTGAACACACCGAGGGCATGCCTGGGGGTGTCCCCTAGCGTAAGTGGAACAATGCACATTAAGAGCCTTGGCTTTGTTTCCTGACTTTTGCAGTACTCTAGTTTTAAGCTTTTTAAACAGTGCAAGTGAGAAGTGGTTGTTATAGAAACACTGGACAATATAGATATTAAAATAGAATAATGAGAAATGAAAACATGTCTGCAGAAAAGCTTCCACATGCCAGCATGATTTGAATGAGTTTTTAAGAGACAACAATAGAACCCTAAGTGGTAATCAGTGTGCATGTCCTCGATAGGTTAGCAGTTTGGGTTTCCGTAATAAGTCATTGGGAAATGGTGACGAGGGTTTTGCTGTGGTGGTTTATCCAGCAGCAGCATCCACAGTTATGGCGTTTGCCTTCCTTTGTACAACCAACTCCCCCGGGCCATTGAGACCAAACGATGGAGCCAGCACAGAGGCTGGGTATTGTTCTTGTTTCGAAAGTTCTTCAATGGCTTTTAGGGCAAAGCATGAGATGTTTCTTTTCAAGTGATTTTATTTATCTTTTTCTTTAGGATTTGGTCAACACTGGACTCAGCACTTTCTTTTTCTTTATTGCTTCCATTGTACTGGCTGCTTTAAACCACAAAGCCGGAGCAGAGATTGCTGCCGTGGTAGGTGAACTCAAGTGGTTAAAACACGGCTGATTTGTATACTTCTTGTGACGTGCTGTCCTCTGTCCCCTTATGTGTGTCCTGTTCATTGTCCTTTAGCTCTTTCTCTGCTAATGAAATTGTTATTGGGCCAATGGAGATCCAGTCCCTTCAGTGCTATGGTTCTCAAAGTGTGGTTCCCGGAACAGCAGCCTCAGCATCACCCAGGAACTTGTTAGAATGCCACTCTCAGGCTCCCCCAGAGCCACAGAATCAGAAATGTGTTTTAACCCGCCTCCAGCTGGCCCGGGGGCGCACTCAAGTTTGAGAACCACTGCTCTAGTCCGTTTCCAACAGGACCCTGGGTGTCTGACTGGTAGTGGTGTTGCTTTTTCGAGCCTTACGGGCCGATGTGGAAGTCTTAATGAAGAACACAGTCTTGACACCACTTAGTAGTCAGATGACTTTTTGCTCCAGGGTGGAATGCCATGGGGGGTGGGGTGGGAAGCAGAAAACGTAAGATTGTCTCTGTGCTCTGTGTTTCTATATTGTTCTGTATTTACAAAGAATATGTAGCGTTTTTGTAATGAGGGATTAAAAGGTTCATGAAAAATATTAAATGAGCTGCTCTGCCAGGTGTCACTCGGTAGATTCATCAGTGGTTATTACCTAAGCCAGACCTGCTGCTTCTCACCCTGGAGGAGCCTAGGAGACAGGCAGCTGGAGAGCAGGTGGGTGTTGAGGGCTGTGCTCTGGAATATCAGGCCTTATGGCTTGAGTTGGGCGCACACATGAGCCCCTGATTTTCTGTGTGCATGGGATTTTGTCTACATGTATTTTCTCATTTGGGACCAGTGACCATGAAGGGGCTGTGAAAGAGGCATTTAAAATTTTAAATTGATTTTAAATAGTTTTTATTGATTTCAGGGAGAGGGAGAGATAGAAACAATGATGAGAATCATTGATCAGCTGCCTCCTGCACACCTTCTCCTGGGAGTTGAGCCCACAACCCAGGCATATACCTTGACTGAGAATCGAACCATGACCTCCTGGTTCGTAGGTCGATGCTTAACCACTGAGCTACACCGGCTGGACAAGAGGCATTTTTGTAATTAATGAAAAAGATCCAAAATACTTTGTGAGAAACCTTAGGCTGTCTTCAGGTCAGGCATGACTTTTATGGGTCGCATGACTCTGGATTTGGCCACAGTCTGACAGCTAAACATTCAGCCAGGCCAGGTGTTGGGGGCACGGCTGTAAGCCGCTCAGGGTCCTGCCTGACACCTCGTAGACGTAGACTGCTGATGTGTCTGAGGACTACCCGTGCCTGTTTCTCCTAGATATTTGGCTTCTTGGCAACGGCGGTGTATGCGGCGAACACATTCCTGGCCGTACAGAAATGGAGAGTCAGCATCCACCAGCAGAGTGCCAACGACTACATCCGAGCCCGCACCGAGTCCCGGGACGTGGACGGGCGCCCGGAGATCCAGCGCCTGGACACCTGAGGGCCCCCCGAGGCCTCCCTCATTCTCGTGCCCGTCCTTCCAATCAAGTTTTCTTTCCCTCGTCACGACAGACTCTCACGTGTTTAAGCTGAATTTTGTCCTCTTTGGTAAAGTTCATTTTGGGAAAGGTCCCCCCGCCTCCCCAGAGTGGCCCTGTTAGGTATGTGAGGCGGAGGCCCCTGCACCTGCTGTGGAGACAGTGGGTGGGCGAGACCTCCGGGTTCTCCAGCGTTTGGTGGCCGTGGGAGAGCCCGTCTCCCTGGCTGCCATGTCCACTTGAGCTCTTCTCCGGCCCTGAGCACAGGCTTCCTTCCCGTCTGACTCTGAGCCACCCCGTCGTATGTATTTGTGACAAGTCAAGACTTTGGATTAAACGGGGGCTGCCACCAGGGGGGAAGTCAAGGAATGAAGTCAAGGAAGTCAAGGTTGGCACAGTCTGTCAGCAGTGATTCCTGGGCAGCCCCCATGGTGAGCTCCCTCAGCATCGGTCTTGCTGCCAGGATCCTCCCTTCTGCTTGTCTTCCGTGCCCCGGACATCCGGACAGCCAGCACAGGCCCGGGCAGCCACGCGTGGCACTGAGGGTTGCAGTGATGGGTGTGCTGGTGAGCTCTGGGCTGGGTCTGGACTTTTGGGGGATGGACAAAGCTGGTGTCCCACAGAACTGTTGACATGCAGGAGGGTTACCTTTCACCTCCCACCTGCTGAGAAAACACTAGATTCTTCCTCAAATGAATCACCTCCCTGAGCCCAGATTCTCCTCCAGGAATATGGGGACCATCTTGTTTTTCTCTCTCCTAACTGCCCTCAATGCTTTGAGGCTGCATTGCAGATTTCCCTATCATCTTACCCCCTCAGGTAAAAATCCAGGAAAGAAACGCAGTCCATCCCGCCAGCCAGGACACTTGCCCGTGTGGACAAGGTGGGGACACTCCTTTAGCGATACGTGCTAATTTTCCGTGGCCTGAGAGGAGTTCTAAAGTGATTCTGTGTAGACTTGACTAGGACTCGAAAATACTTGAATTTGCACCATGACACCCTTTCATTGATATTTGGGGAGGCACGAATCGGAGCTTTCCAGAGTCCTAACCATGAACGTCCATCTTAGAAGCTGTTGGGAAGAAATCTAGGTGTGTCCAGTTTTTGAACTGATTCTTGATAAAATGAAGATTATTGCGGTGAAGGAGTTAAATGAGCCCCTATGATGCTGTAGTGTTGTCTTTTTCTTCCTGTTGGAGATTAATTGTATCTTTTATGGAAAACTTGTTTTAATTTGTCAGGTTTTCACTCTGAGCTGATTTTGATGTTTACAAACCTCTAGCTCTAACGCTTTGTGATTAGCCCTCACCGAGGAAAAAACAGTTATTGCTGGTGGGAGATCTTGCGGTAACACGGAGAGCCTCCAGGAGCTTGTGCCGGTGAACGATCCAGCGTTGGCAGCATTCTGTGTCATAAGAGAGGACAGGGCATGTCTGTGGGGGTGGCGGGAGGAGAGCATGTGTGGGAAAGCGCCCGTCTGTGCGTGTGTGGCATCGCATTCTTCATACAGAGCAGCGTTGGGGGTGATCAGGTGGCTGGGGATTCCTAGGAAATGGTACTCTGCTATCTCTGAGCGGGCAGGTCAGCTCCCTGAGCTGAACGTGCAGTACGATCGGAGTTCTGCTGCCGTTCTCTCCCTGGGCTCCGGCCCAGGTCACATGTGCAAACCCCTTGTCTGCGTCAGGGGCCATGGCTGCGGGTGGGTGCAGACCCAGCTGGTCTGGGGTAACTCGCCTCCCTCTGCTCCCCCAGAGGGCAGCCAGGCCTGGTCACAGCGGGGCAGCTGCCCGGAGGGCCTGTGGAGCCCTCTCTCCGGGTCCGTCCTGAGGCAGTACAAGTCACGCTTCGCAAACGTTGAACCTGTTCTATATAGCGATTCTTTCAGGAGATTCTAACATCTGGATTTTATCTGTTCATTTTATGTATTTATTTTGCATTTGTTGAGTGTGTATGCCTCGTCAAAACTGGGCTTATCTGAATCTGCGAGTTCCATTTAAAAACAGGGTCACAGAGGCTCGCTCGGCCTTGCATTCAGTGGGGCCCGCTTGGAAGGACCACCCTGTGCTTTATCAGACATCTCCTGCCGGGAATCATGTTACTTGGCCTCAGTGAAAAGCCGCCTTTGAAGTGAGATTGAAGAAAAGGATACCATTCCGGCAGGATCGCTGCCCAAGTTTTCCCAAGCGACTTCCATCGGACCAGCTGGTCATCTCGGTAAAGGAGCCCCCTGGCCTCCCGGGGCTGTGCTGCCATCTGCCAGAAGCCATGCCGAAGCCCATGGACACCGGAAAGGCTGGTCACGAGGAAGAGTGATGACATCGAGTGCCACAGAGCGACTTAGGAGTTAACGTGCATCTTAGGGTTAGAATCCTTGGAATAATTTATGTCCCTGTAACTATTTAATATCCTTTGTGCCACGGGGCTTTCCCATGGAGTTTGTAAATATATTTCTCTCTATTTAATTAGCTCTCTCGCCGGTGTGATGCACCGCCATCCATCTCGTCGCCTGTGGCAGGGGGATGGTGAGAAGTGGTGAACGGGACTTGCCTGTCCAGGTGACTGTGAAGACACCTGCGTTCTTCTGACGCTGCCTCTGTGCACACAAGACCATCTAGGTTTCTGGGGGCCTATAGCACTTATTATTTTTTTCTTGGCAAATTAAAGGAAGCGTGTTTTTGCATTTGATAGTTCCAATATGGGTCAATGGCAGTTTGTTTTGGGGTATTTTCAGACTGAGGCAATCTTAGTGTTTCTCAATTTTCTGGTGGGATGATAGTGGCTTTCACGGTCTGTGCCAAACCTGAGGAGAGCTACAGTTGCTTTGCGCGTTTGAATTTGTTCCTAGCGGCTGTATGGTTGAAACCCTCAAGCATTTGGTGGTTTTAGATGGATGCAAACACTGACATCTTCAGAGAAAGTTTATCTTGGCACGGATTTGGTGGATGTGGTATTTCTTCTCTCTGATTCTCCTTTATCTTCCCTTTACACTGAATGAAGGCATGAAAGGAAATACCTTCTCCCTTTCACACAAAGAGATTGCAATCATCAAAGCCCAAAGGCACTTGGCCCCATATAACGCTGGGGGAGGACCAAGGCATTTAGAGGTTAAAGTCTCATAAGAACCCGACTGGCATGGCTCAGTGGTTGAGCATCGACCTATGAACCAGGAGGTCTCGGGTTCGATTCCCAGTCAGGGCACATGCCTGGGTTGCGGGCTCAGTGCCCAGTGTGGGGGCTGTGCAGGAGGCAGCCAATCAATGATTCTCTCTCATCATTGATGTTTCTATCTTTTTCTCCCTCTTCCTTCCTCTCTGAAATCAATAAAAATATATTTGAGAGATTACCTGTGCCTAGAAAAAGGCAAGAATGTAATAGCCTGCCCAGTCCCAATCCTTATCCATGTCTTCCTTGGCAGCCTGCACTGAAGGGCCTGCATCGGGGAAGCCAGCGAGGCCCGGCTTGGCTCTGAGGGTGTGGCTTGGGGAAGTGGACCACACTCATGGCCCTTTGGGTACCATTACTGTCCCCTGGTAGGAACGCTTAGGCCCCTGGGTGGGTATGGCACGTATCTGACCTCCACCCTGTGCTGGAGGCTTCTGGTGAGAGCTTTGTGACTCAGTTGAAAACATTCCTACTCTTTTCTTTTTTTCATTTCTTACCTGAGGATATGTTTTGCATTGATTTTAGAGAGGGGGAGGTGAGAGAGAAACATCGATGTGAGAGAAACATCTGTATATACCATGACCGAGGATAGAACCCGCAACCAGGTACGTGCCCTGACCTGGAATCGAACCCACCAACCTTTAGTGTCCGGCACATCACTGCAGCCAATTGATACTCACCAGCCAGGGCCATTCCTGCTTGTTTAAAGTAGGCAGCTTCATCTACCTTCTTGAAGGTTTCTTTCATTCAGACTTGGGGTTAAGCCATAGCTGGTCTGTGAGGAGAGGGAGCAGTCTCTGTCTGCATAGGCCTGTGCATTCTTGCTGGCAGTGAATGAGCCTTGAATGCCACCCTCCCCCGGCCCCCACCTGTCTGTCCTACGTGTGGCCCAGCCTCACCTTTTCTTACGGACACTCGCGCTGTTTGGGAAGCAGCCCCTCTCCGCGTGTTTAAGAGATGGACCAGGTTCTAATATCCGGCTGTTCAAGGTCTTCTGTGGGTTTTAGAACCCATCCTGACAGGATGAGTGGGATGTGGAGACAACACGTGGCTAATTCAGTGGTTCTGGGAGGCAGTGGCTGTGTATGGGGTTCCATTGGAGCCATCCCTGTTCAAAGCAAAGCAACAGGAAGTGGCTGTGCGACAGCCCGGTTCCCATTTTCTCCACATCTCATTTATAGGACAATGACCACACTGAACAGGTAGTAACAGGCACAGACACTTTCTAGGTTGAGGGCTGCTGCAGATTGCTTCTCTCCAGCAGAATAAAAAGTTGCTTCCTGCTCCAGGGATTGCCATTAGCTTGTGAGGTCTCCAGCCCACTTTCTTATTTCTCAGTGAAGTTTGCAGAACCCAGGGCTCTCTCTTCCCTACGTCTTGCTTATTTTATCAGCACCCACTTTTAGGAGCAGAAGGGTGATGAGGTGAGGTGGGAGCTGGGGCAGGTCTGAGAGGTGAGAGGAGGGGGCCCCTCGGCCCAAGCTCTGTCTGCTGTGGGGCTGTTGACAACACTAGTCTTGAAAAGATGTGCTTGGGTAACTACCTCTCTATCGCCTGTCTCTGGGACAGTGAGGGCTTGTGTTCTGGAATCAGCTTGAGAGCCGGGGCTGAAAGTAGCCCAGTGTGCCGTGTCCCCCGGTGGGCTCTGGGTGTTTGGGAGCGCAGGGCTGGCCAGGTGACTTGGGTTCTGGTTTCGGTGCCACCTGTGAGCGGACTCGGACCGAACACTGCCTTGTAAGCTTCTCAGCTCTTTACAGAATCACGTGTCTCTTATCACATAGTGTTGAAATCATAAGAACTGTCTGGTTGAGAAGGTAATCTGAAATATTTGAACCTTTACATTTCTTTCATTTTGAAACTGTCTCTGAAAGAAAATACCCTCAAAATCTGTGAGATCTAGACCTGTCTTCTGAAAGCGAAAGTTCTGCTTGATTTATCTTCCCACCAGTTATCGGCGCTTATCCCCGCTAAGGCCTGGAATAGAGCAGTGGGCCCCGTAGATTTTCCCTCTTTTGGTCTAGTCTATATTCTTCCTCCATTTGGATATAATTTCTCAATCTGGGTGATTTTTTCCCCCCTCTAGTTTATCTTATTCCATAGGTATAAGGGTAAAGAAAAGTTACCCACAAGCCCACTGAGTTGGAATGAATCAATGGCAGTTTTGCCTAGAATAAAGTTTATATTATGGATCCTTGATTAGTCTATCTTTTTCATAGGGTTAGTTTGTTGTCTGCTTTTTGTTGTTTTTAATCTTCCACTGAGGATATCCCCCCCCTCCCCCCATTGATTTTAGAGAGATGTGGGAGGGAGGAGGGAGAGACAGAGAGAGAAACATCAATGTGAGAGAGACACATGGATTGGTTGCCCCCCGGCACGTTCCCGACCAGGGCCAGCGATTGAGCCTGCAGCCGAGGTATGTGCCCTTGACAGGAATCAGACTCGAGACCCTTCACTCTGCAGGCGGATGCTCTATCCACTGAGCCAAATGGTACACATTTTTTATGCCAAGAGTTTAATTCGGGCGCCCTGGAGTGCTTTGGGCTGCATTGCACCAAGGCGGGGAGCCTTCATCAAGGGGTTAATGGCCGGGGCTCTAGTGAGCTATCAGGCTTGTGTGGTTCCCATGTAGAGGAGGACATTGTCTCGGATGACCTTTGTTGGTGGTCAGAGGAGAGAAGGTGTGACCTAGTTGATTCCATAGTAATCTGAAGCCCAGTAGGAAGCACCTCCCTTTATGAGAAAAGCCACCTGATGGGAAGGCCAGGGCGTAAGGCCTGTGAGGGGACCTGATGACCAGGCCAGGCAGGGCCGGGCCTCACTGGGCCTGCTTCCCTCTTTCCTGCCTTTTCCAGAATCGATTTGCAAGTTTTAAGATTCTGTCCCCATCTCTGCAGAAGTGAGGCAAGCAAATATTTGGGGTTTGAAGGGAGAACTGGCCGGTCCAAGGGCTGGGGGAAGGCTGACTCTGAGGACAGGATCAAGCTGGCCCAGCCCCATCGAGGGGCCACCTGCTTCCAACTCTTTCACCCCGTAAACCCACTCAGAACTGCGTCTTCAAACCCTGCCTCAGGACGGAATGGCGTGTGCGGATAAAGCTTTCTGTAACTCGATTTTTGATGCGGCTTCCTCTAAGAGAACGCTAGGGATCGAAACTATCTGTATATGTTGCAGTTTGTAAGGGTTCAGGAACCCATGGCAAAAACACGTAACTAATTTATTACAGGTATGACTGTCTGTCCCCCCCCCCGCCCCCGCCCCCAAAGTAGGCAATTCCGTCTTTGTATATTTTACGACAAATAATAATCACTTCACCTTTGGTGCCTTCCGTGTGTCGGTCACGTAAAAACTCTTGTTAATCATGGAATTGAAAGAAAGATGTACATTTAGTTAAACCAGATAACACTATTTTTGTAGCATGATTTTAGATTGTGTCCTTTTACTGTTGCTTTCAGCAGTGCTGGTTTTGCGGTTGGCCGTTTTCCCTGTAAACCTCCTCCGTCTTTAAAGAAAAAAGACAAAACCATCCCTGGCTGTTCCTTGCTCCCCCCTGCTCTCCCCCCGCCCTTTTTTCTGCTTTCTTAAACAGTCTGAGAGGGAGAGTATATTTCTGTGAAATAATCCTTAGTCTATCTGCATTGGGCATTTTTTAACCCCTTGTTCGGTCGAGGGAGCCACTGCTCACCCCAGACAGGGAGAGGAGCGCGGCTCCGCAGGGACAGAACAGTACTCTCGGTGCTTGGTGCTCTGACTTCCCTTCTCTGGCTCAGCCCGTGGACAGGCCCGTTGTCGGGGCCAGTGAAGCAGAGGGTGTCCGCAGGCCTGGCTTTGCTGCCCGAGCCTGCCAGAACCCCCGCGGGCCCCGGGCTCGCCTTCCCCTGGATCTGACTGGCGGGTAGGCCCGGGTAGGCTCCCAGGCCCTGTCCGGTTTGGGGCCTGAACCAGACAGACCCCCTGCTGTGAGGAGCGCGATGACATCACCACAGGATCACACTCTGGCTGCCCCCTCTGGCTTCCCCGTCCCTGCAGGACACGAAAAACCTTGAGGAAACTAGCTGAGCCATTGCAACATGAAGGAATGGGCTTATTGAAACAAAAGCTAGCTTTTTTTGTGCTTTCTGAAGGGCCAGAATATGGGATCATTTTCTAACAGAGCAAGTCAAGTCAGATGGTTAGTAACTCTAGATGACCACTCACTGGTACTTGGCCCAGAGGTACCTGGGGGAGCAATGCTAATTTAATAACCATTACACTTTACTTCATAAGTCTAGTTCCTTTAACAGTTTAGCTGGGGGGTATTCCGAGGTGATGCCCACACGGGAACTTTGGTTATGCTGGCGGCTGGCCAGGGCTCCCACCCCGGCTTCTCACACCGTATGGGTGCCCTGGGGTGGGCACCCCCTGCTCTGACTGGCCGGGGGTGGGACTCTGCCCACTGGGAGTGATGTTGGGCCCCAAAGCCTTGGCCCCTGTTGGTTTGTCCCCAGCAGCAGACACAGCCTCACCTTGCCCTCAATCCCTTTTCTTTTGAAGGACCAATTTTTCACGGTACTTGTCCTGATTGTTTTCATAGTGTTCAAATCTGTATTTTTGTAAGTAGAGGGAAATAATTTTCTCAACACTAATCGCTAATGTTGTATTAAACTGTCATGAAGGAGTTCTTGTTTAATAAATGGACATGAGAAAACGGCCTGGTCTCTCCCTGCCCCGACTGACCGCCCGCCCCTCCACGGCTGTGGACCCCGTTCCTGCCCAGCCGGGCTGTTCGGTGGAGGTTAAACAGCCAGCGTCCCCCGGCGAGGCCTCCGCACGTTCACCTTTCCCACACCCTCAGGACGCGCGTGTGTGGGAGTTGGGGCAGAAAGCCTGCTTCCTCCCATCCGCCTGGGCCAAAGTGCCCACGAGGCTGCTCCGAGGCCTGGCTGCCGGAGGGGTGGCGGGATGTGCCCCTCAGAGGGGCTGGGTGACCTGGGCAAGTCATCGGACCTTCCGCCAGTTTCCTGGCCTATAAACAGGACTGTGTGAGGACTAAGTAAGAGCGCAGACATGAGACACTTAGTGGTGCCTGGCATGGAGCAAGTGTGTGTGTGTGTGTGTGTTTGCGTGTGCATGTGCTGACACTGATACCGGATGGCATTGCCCTGGGTGGTGTGAGGTTTATTCACGCACTCCAAGCAGGTAGTCCGTCTGGTTTAATTCATGGCTTTTTCCAGGGGAGGAGATTCACATGCAAGAGAAGGACAAAAGTTACAGGTGCTCCCAAATGGGTCCAGAACTCTGGCTCATTTCGCAGGGCCTCTTGGTCACAGGAAATGCTATTTAAGAAGCTGCTTTTGTATAAAAAAAAAAATTATATAAAGTCACAAAACCCCACTGAAGATACATACACAGCACAGGTCCTTGGGAGGACACAGAAGGCACGTTTCACCTCTTGGGAGGCGGTCGGGAGACCTGCTCTGGCCGACCCGGGACGCTGTCCCTCCACGTGGCGCCCGATCTTCGGACCTGGGAAGCTACTTTACGAGCTTTCCTTTGAAATGGTCTTAGACCCAGAATGGCCCTGTGCCCTGAAGAAGACACGGTGTCCAGGGGCGTGCGGAGGCAGTTAAGGGCAAAGGCCGGCTTCCTCCCTGCCTAAGGGACGAAGGAGGTGGTGCTCCTTGAACCAAAGAATCTTGGAAGGATCATTCTCGACAGAGTGCCAGGCATAGCCAAGGTCACTGGGGCTGGGGGGCTGGCGGTTGGCCCCTGGTGGCTTCTGTCTTACTTCTGTTGTGCTGTTACCTCTATGCACGCCCCCCTGCCCCCTGCCGGCATGAACATCCCGTGACAGGTCACATGGCTCCCGTTGTGCTTGTTTTTGGCAGAGAGGTCAGAGGGCTTAAGGTGTGTGGGACAGAAACGGGGAGTGGCGGAGTATTCCCGATGCCCTCCCGGGCAGAGCGGTTACACAGGCTAAGCCGAGGGGCGCCGTCCCGCGTGCCGGGCGCAGAACGTCACCTCGGGCCGTGAGGAGGCCTGCTCCTCTGGGGAAGTGACAGCCTGCCCCCCCCCGGCACTCCCGGCCCCCGGGCCTCGCTCCGGCCAGCCGGTCAGGAGAGCAGGAGGGAAGGCCCACGCGGCTCGGCTGCCGGGGCAGGGCAGCACTTCAGTCGGAGTCAGAGTCGGAATCCTCTTCTGAAACGAAAGCAAAGAGGAGGCTTGGCAGGAGTCTCCTGGCTGGTGGTGCCCAGGAGCCGTCCCCGGAGAGGCACAGCCAGGCTACGGACTGGAGCCCCGATGCCTCCTGCAGCTGACTGTGCTGTCTATTGGTGGGTCTGCTTGGCGTGAGGGCCGGGGACCCCCCACAGGCAGCTGCTGTCCCCTCTGTAGCGCAGCCAATGCAGGTGGGAGCCCAATGCCCTCTCGTCTGGGGCTCCGTGCGCCCTCAGTGTCCCTGAGCTGTCCTCACCTGGGGTGTCAGGACAGGACATCTGTACCCCAACCCCACCCCACAATTTAGCAGGACAACCCGGGGCAAACCATTTTCTCGTCTAAAAAACTCAAATAGACTAGAAGATCAGGAAACCTCCTTTGGGCCATTTTACAGTTTCGGCCCCCCCTTCCCGCCAGTCCCAATCCTCGTTTTATATTGTGATCAGAAACAGGGGATGGCTGTGTGGTCACAGATGGAAAACCAGCCATCCAACTTGCTGGCCTCCCCCCCACCCCCATTTATTTTTAAACTAGGCAGTGGCACAGCCATTCTGAGCGGAAGGTTGGCTGGAGGGGCCAGAAGGCCTGTTGCACTCTCCTTGGATAAAAAGCTGAGAGCGAGCCGAAACCAGTTTGGCTCAGTGGTAGAGCGTTGGTCTGTGCACTGAAGGGTCCCGGGTTCGATTCTGGTCCAGGGCATGTACGTTGGCTGCGGGCACATCCCCTGTAGGGGATGTGCAGGGGGCGGCTGGTCGATGTTTCTCTCTCATCGATGTTTCTGGCTCTCTATCCCTCTTCCTTCCTCTCTGTAAAAAATCAATAAAATATAAAAAATAAAAAAAATAAAAAAGCTGAGAGCGAGCTTGGCTCCCTGGCACTTGAGCCATGAGGCAGGCCAGACTGCAGGGGGCGCTGGTCCCTTTGCAGCCCAGTGCCCAGGAATTGAAGCCACTGACTGGCTGCCCTGGGGGCTCATCGGGGACCACTGAACGGAGATGGAGGTGCTAAGCGTGCCCTCTGCTCGCCCTTCCTGGAAAGGCTCAGCCCTGGGGAGCCACGTGCTCGCCCGAGGGGACCGGCTTTCTGATCGGTGCTGCGTGAAGGGATCCGAGAACCAGGCTGTGAAAGCACTTCCTGCCCGTGGCGGGAGAGGGCACGCTGCTACTCCAGCCTCAAACCAACCACGTGTCCCCAGGGAGAGCGGGGCCCAGCCCGCAGGGAGACACACCCACCTTCCTCCTTGTTGGCTGTGGTCTCGTCCGCAGAGCCCCCTTGCTTGAGGAATTTGGCCACGTCATTGAAGATCAGGTAGAAGTCAATGGCAAACACGATGGTGGCAAAGAAGCCAAACACCTGTGGGATGGAGAGGACAGACAGGGTGGGTGGGACCGGAGTCCCTGCTCCGAGAGACTGAGAGGCACCTGCCCGGCCTCCCCTCCTGTGTTTATCTGATTGGATAAGCAGCTCAGATTGGCAGGCACAGGCCCCTCCCATGAATGACAGATGGGAAAAGGAGCTGTTAACTTGGCTGACAAACACCCTTTCAGAGCTGGGGCCGAAGCAGGGAGAGAATAAGCCCCAGACGCTAAGCGTGTGTGCCGAGAAGCATCTGGGACTTGAGGAGGGGTAGGGTGAGCTTGAGGGGGGCCTCACTGGCCACCCCCCCTCCCAGGGGTAGGGCAGCTACTCACCCCGGCTGCCTTGGAAGCTCCATCCGAGTATTTGGCGACAGCTGTGATGGAGATGGCAAAGTAGATGAGGGCCGCTGTGACACAGCGCAGGAAGTCCTGGGGGGAGAGAGGGACTCGGTCACCCCGCCCTGAGCTCCGAGGAGTGGGGCAGAGCAGGGGAGGGGCCCCCTGGGAGCTCAGGCAGGGGAGGGGGTTCAGGAGACACCAGGCAGCAGAAACAGCCCACTGTTCCGGAGCGGGGTGGGCCTGGCAGCCTGAACACACGCCTGGCTCCCGAGTCCAGCATCTGGGGGCTCCCACCCTGTCCTCCCACCGCCGCTCCTGCCCCGGCTCAGGTGCCGCTCGCAGGCTGCCAGCAGCCGAGACTGCCCTGCCCTGGGCCTCACGTTGTCACATACTTGTTGCAGGTCTATTTATGAATTATGGTTTCTGTTTACTTGGTCCCTAAAATGGGGACACAGAGGGTGCAGCCCAACAAGAATGCTGGGGAAGAAGTCAAGAAAGGTTGGTGTGTGTGTGTGAGAGAAAGCTAAGGCTGGGGCAGGCTGGGAGGGGATAAAGGGGAGATGTGTAATACTCTCAACAATAAAATTAAAAAGAATATATTTTTTAAGTGACAAGAAAAGACCAGGGTTCACCCTGATGGTGGGGCTCAATTGGTTGAAGCATCCGTCCCATATTCCAAAATGTTGTGGGTTTGATCCCTAATCAGGGCACATGCAAGAGGCAGCCCATCGATGGTATTCTCTCCCTCTCTCTCAAATCAATAATAATAATAGAAAAATTTTAAACTCACTTTATTAAACAAAATCAGACAGACAGACCGGGGTTCAAGTGCAGGCTTGCTGTCCCTTCTCTCCGACCCACTGACCCACTGCAGACAGCGGAAGTCTGAGGCAGGGCTGAGGCAGGGCTCTGGGCTCTCCGGGGTGATAAACAGAATTGCCAGAGGGCCGAGTGAGGGTCTGGGTACGCCCTGCAAGTCCCCAGTTGAGGTGCCCTCCCCCTGCTGAAATGGCTTGAATTCCTGTAGCTGAGACGAGGGAGCACCAGCGCCACCTCGTGGCCAGGGGCAAGGATGTCAAACTCTTAGCACACAAGGAATATTGTGGCCCAGCCAATATATTGGTATGTGAGAAACGTTTTAATAAAAACTTCATAACTTAATTTTTTACAATATCCTGTTATACATAATTATTAACGAAATACAACATTTACTATAATCGTGTTGCATTCATTTCCCTTACGTGCCTTACACGTGCAACATTTCTGTCCACTAATACTGGCAGCGAATATTTTAGCAGCCGATTGCCACATCATTGGTCTTATACTGACTTGTTTGGTGTGCGCAATAGGAAGTATTTCGATTTCGAAGAACACGAAAAATAGGTTTATTTGCGTTACGCTTATTAACTTGTGCAATTATTCAGTGTCTGGTAAGTTAATGTTCAAGAAAAATATTAATTTTTATTAAAGTGGTCTATTTTATTTTAACGATCACTCATTTATTTCAGCCCTTTGTATTCAGCATGTCTCTATCGAAATAAACATACATTTCTATGGAAATTTAAGCTTTTGTTTTTTTGCGGCCCACATACCCTTAAACCTTGTTTATTTGGCCTGTGTCTGCCTTTGAGTTTGACGTGCTTGCCTTCCAGAGACACCTGGAGGCCCTGGCGGGGGTGCCACAGCTGCTGAGTGGTGGGCCCCAGATCACCTGCGGCCAGGTCTACCCGCCTGGCTCCAACCCATGGCCAACAGCCGTCCCAGTGCACTGACCCCTTCCTCATGGGGCCCAGCCCTCACCATCATGGGCCAGCACAAGCCCTGCCACTTGTCATTCAGCTGCATGGCATCGGCAAAGAGGAAGAAGAGGGCCAGCAGGAACTCCAGGAGGGGCGCGGTGAGGAAGGCGGACGCTGAGGACGCCACGTAGCAGACAAAGGTGATGAAGGAGAGGCCCTGGGGGGGGGGGAGCGAGAAGTCAGAGCCGTTGCACAGCCCCTCACCCGGTGAGCACCCCTCGGAGCCCCTGCCGTCGGGAACAGCGGAGGCTCAGGAATGGAAGGTGACCTGCCCTCAGTTCTGCAGCTGCCGGGCTTAGGGCCTGGTCACGGGGCCCGGGCTCACACCTGTGCTGCCCCCAGAGTTTCTCGGCTTGGCCCTTAGTGCTGACCCCATGCCAGCTCCTTGCCAGGACCCAATCAGGAAGTGCCAGCCTCCTACGTGTGTCTAGCCCAGTCCCCCAGGAGGCCACTCTCTTGGGCTGCTCACTCCGCCCCCACCCCACCAGGCTCTTACGGGCAGAATCCACCCAACTCAGACGCTGTCCCACAGGGGCTCCTCAGACCCGAGCAGCCTCAGGCAGCCCACTGAGCAGGAACCAGTTTCAGAAATTCACTCCCAACGCACAAGATCTGTACTTTCCACTGAATGCAATCTACCCGGAAAACAATAAAATCTTAGACTTAGCTAAAGAAACAGGGGCTGAAGTGTTTAGAGTTAAAATGTAGTTTCACTCTAAATCCATTGAAAAACAAAATGGAGCCGGGCTGGTGTGGCTCAGTGGTTGAGCATCAACCTAAAAACTAGGAGGTCACGGTTCAATTCTTGATCAGGGCACATGCCCAGGTTGTGGGCTCAATTCTCTCTCTTCATTGATGTTACTATCTCTATTTCCCTTCCTCTTTGAAATCAATACAATTTTTTTTTAAATGGATAGATAGATGGAGCGATAGGTGATAAAGTAAATATACCAAAGTGCTAACAACTGTACAATCTAGGTGGTGGGTATATTGGTGTTAACAGTATAACTCTTGTGGCTTTTCAATATATTTGCAAATCTTACTGCTGATGAGAAATAAACATCCAGGAGAGGAGTGTTGGCACTGATGCCCTGGGCCCCGCTGGTCTCTGGGCGAGGGGCACTGAGGAACCAGAATGAAAATGTTCCCTGCAGCCCTCTGCACGCACTGTGTGTGGGAACTGCGGCTGCCAGACGCCGAGCCCCCCGTGGTTCTGGTTCTGCAGACTGTGTGCTGGGGCGGGCCCCGGGCCAGTGCCCGCTGGGGCTTGGAGGATCTCTCCTGGGATCCTCACAATCACCATGTGCCAGGTGCTGCTGACAGCCCACTTTACAGACGAGAAGACTGAGGTTCTGAGAGGTGAAGTGATTGCTCAGTGTCACGCAGCTCATAAGAGGATACCAGGACTCTGAACCCAGGGCTGGCTTGACTGGCAGTGGCCCGCCTTAAGCAACCTTGCCCTGGGGGCGCTGGCTCTTGTCTGGTTTCTGTCGCTGTGTCTGAACACGTCTAAGGCTGAGTAGCTCTGAGTGGGGCCCAGGGGGCCTCCCAGGGACACCCAGAGGCCCCACAGGAAGTGCCGAGGCTGCTTCAGACAAATGAGCTACAGAGATCACAGGAAGTCCCCAGGGCACCCACATCTGTACTCAACATGGCCCTGGGGACAGCCCAGGCCAACTTGAACAGATGGTTAGCCAGCTGCGTCCCACAGCTCCTGCTGTACTTGTGGGCTGTTCTTGTGTCCCTGTCCTTCCTGTCATTTCCCTCCCCCTCCCCTAGCCTGATTCTGGAGAGCCCCCTCTGGATTCCTGTTTCCTCATTCTCTGATTCCTAGTTACCACTCCCCCCTTCCTGTCCCTGCCAGCTCCCCATTGCGGGGGCCTGGGGGCAGACCAGAGGTGACTCCAGGAGTCATGGTGCAGCTCCCCTGCAACTTCAGTGCCCTCCCTCCCTCCCTCCCCACGCCTGGCACTCCCAGATCCCTGACCCCAGCTCTGCCCTGGGCCCCCTCTATGCTCTGGCCAGCTACCCCTTGACTTAGGAGGGGGGCCTGAGTGAGGTGGGTTTGGGGTCTCCTCGGTGGATGGTAGTGGTCTCAAGGCTTCTCCCCGAAAGTAGCTTCCATCCATCTCTTGGGTGAGGCTGGTGTGGCCCATCAGGAGGCAACCCCTCGAAGTGAGGGCTGTGGGTCACTTGAGAGTTGGGCAGGTCCTGGGCTGACCTCCGGGCTGGCCCCAGGCCCAGCAGAGGGGACAGGGCCACAGGCCGCCTCCTGACGTGGAGGCAGGACCCTCCTCCTGACCCCCATCCCCCTCGGTCCCTGCTGTCCCCCAGCCCTCACCTGTCAGATCCTAAGCTCCCGCCTCAGCTTCCTTGTCATCAAAGTGGGAGGAAAGGCAGAGACTGAGGAGTTGCTGGGGATCTAGAGACTAAGTGCCCCTCCCTCGTCCCGCGTCCCCTCTTTCTAGTCTCTTCCTCCCTCCCCTCCCCTCCCCTCCCCTCCCCTCCCCTCCCCTCCCCGATGTCCGGGACCAGCACAGCCCCAGCCCCAGCCCACTGGCGGGCAGTGTCCTGAGGACAAAGGCCTGGCTGGCCGGGGAGGGGGTGGGATGGGGGGGGGGGGGAAGAAGCAGCTCCGCGGGGCGGGGCGGCTGGATCCCGACTGGGAAGGGGAGGAGGGGGATGAAGTCACCCCGCTGGGCCCCGGCCCCCGCCCCTCAGCCCGCTTCCCCCGCCCCTAGCGCTGCTGGGGCCTCACCCATTCCCAGGGGTCCCCATCCCCGCTGGCTGGGCTCCCCCACAGCCTCCGCCCCGCAGCTCGAGGCCCGGCCGGCCCTCCCTGCGCCCGGGAAAGCGGACAGGGGGGTCCCGGCGCCGGGTGCGAGGGGGGCCGCGCGGGCTGCACCCCCCTCCCCAGAGGGGCCGAGGGGGCGGGAGCGCCCGGGGTCACCTCTCCTCTCCCCGGCCCCCCACCTCCCCCAGTCCCGGGGCTCTAGGCCGCTTCTGCCACCCCCCCCCCCCCCGACCCCGCTTGGCACTCGCGCGTGCAACCCCCGGGGGAGGCGGGTTCGGGCCCCGCGCGCTGAGCTCCGGCGGGTCCGGCCCGGACGGGGCTCCGGGAGGGGTCGGTCGGGCGCGCCGGGCAGCGGCCGCCGGGGGTGGGGGGCGCCGCCTGGAGGTGGGGGGCCCCCGCCGCACTCACCGACTCGGCCAGCAGGAGGCGGCCTTTGGGGGAGCAGAGGAAGGCGCGCGCGGGCAGCAGGGCGCGCAGCCCCGAGACCCCCCCGCCCGGCGCCGAGCGGCCCGCGGGCTCGGGCTCCGGCTCGGGCTCCGGGTCCGGGGGCCACATGGCGGCGGCGGCGGCTGCAGGGACGAGGCTCGGTCTGGCGCCCTCGGACCTCCCGCCCGGAGGGAAGCGGAAACCCGGCGGGCGGTGCGGAAGGAGAGGGAGGCCCGGCGAGCCCGGCGCAGGGGCGCATCCCCCGCCGCCCGCCCCGCCCCGGCCCCGCCTCCCCGGCCCCCTCCCCGGCCCCGGCCTCCCGCCCCCTCTTCCGCCCTCCTCCTCCTCCTCCTCCTCCCTCCCTCCCTCCCTTCGGACCCCGGCCCCGCCGCGGTGCTGGCCTGGGGGGCTCCCCCGGACCCCCGCATTCTCCTCCTCTCGCCCCCTGTCCCGGAGGCTCCGGAACTGGTGTGCCCCCCTCGGGTGCCCGTCGGATCTCCCACCCACCTGTCCCTGCCACAGCCCGGGAGGGTGCTCTGCACTCGCTGTCCGTCCCCCCATCGAGCTTCCTGGGTGCACTGGTCCGGGACCCGGACCTTCTGGCTGCGCGGCCTCTGCGCGGGGTGCTGCCCTCCAGCTTCCACCCCCATCCTCCCAGCCAGAGTCCCCCAGACCCCCATCCTCCCAGCCAGAGTCCCCCAGACCCCCATCCTCCCAGCCAGAGTCCCCCGGACCCCCGTCCTCCCAGCCAGAGTCCCCCGGACCCCCGTCCTCCCAGCCAGAGTCCCCCGGACCCCCGTCCTCCCAGCCAGAGTCCCCCGGACCCCCGTCCTCCCAGCCAGAGTCCCCCGGACCCCCGTCCTCCCAGCCAGAGTCCCCCGGACCCCCGTCCTCCCAGCCAGAGTCCCCGGACCCCCATCCTCCCAGCCAGAGTCCCCCGGACCCCCGTCCTCCCAGCCAGAGTCCCCCGGACCCCCGTCCTCCCAGCCAGAGTCCCCGGACCCCCGTCCTCCCAGCCAGAGTCCCCGACCCCCAGACCCCCGTCCTCCCAGCCAGAGTCCCCCAGACCCCCGTCCTCCCAGCCAGAGTCCCCCGGACCCCCGTCCTCCCAGCCAGAGTCCCCGGACCCCCGTCCTCCCAGCCAGAGTCCCCGGACCCCCGTCCTCCCAGCCAGAGTCCCCGGACCCCCGTCCTCCCAGCCAGAGTCCCCCAGACCCCCGTCCTCCCAGCCAGAGTCCCCAGACCCCGTCCTCCAGCCAGAGTCCCCCGGACCCCTGTCCTCCCAGCCAGAGTCCCCGGACCCCCGTCCTCCCAGCCAGAGTCCCCGGACCCCCCGTCCTCCCAGCCAGAGTCCCCCGGACCCCCGTCCTCCCAGCCAGAGTCCCCTCCCAGGGCTGGCCTTCCTCTCGCTCAGCCTCTCTCTCACCCCCGAGGCCACCCATCTTCACCTCCTCACGTCCATCATCTCCGTCCACTGCTCCCCATCACCAAGGCCCGCCTGGACCTCAGGCCATTCCCGTCTCCTCCCTGCACCTTGGGAGCTTCTCGTCTTGCTCAGGGTCTCCGGTTGGGGAACACAGACCCCCTCGCCGCCCTCTCTCCCCTTCCCTTCCCTTCCACCCGTCTGCTGTCTCACGGCTCCTTCCCCCGGGCTCCCTCCTGCCCCCGGGCCTTGGCACGTGCTGTCCCCTCTGCTTGGAGTGCTGTCCCCCGCCTGGCTCTCTGGTCAGCCGTTAGCCTCCCGTGATCGGAGAGCAGCAATGCCTCCGCAGAGAAGACCGCCCACCTCTCCAGCCCGGTAAGAGGCATTCGTTGACTTATTTATGGATTCGTCCAACAGCAGAACTGGGAGCCCAACCTGAGGCCCCCGCTTATTTTGGGGGTGTGGGTAAACACTGAGTGTGCCCTGAGAAACCTGAATCAGGTTCTGGTTGCTGGTCATAGGTGTTGGGCAGGCTCCGAGGGCGACCAGGCAGAAAGGATTCAGCGAGGGACCGGTGACAGGAGGCAGATGGTGGAGGCCCAGGCCCGGGAGTTCGGGATTTTTACCCCAAATTCCCCGGGAGCAGGTCCGGGAGGGGAGGGTGGGGGGGGTTAGATCAGAGGGCCAGCTGGTTCTAATCCATGTTAATTAAAATGTGGCTCAACATTGCAATTCAATATAGGAAAACACCCCGGATTTTAAAAGGGGCCAAAGATTGGAACAATTCAACAAAAGTGTTCGAACATCTAATAGACGCATAGGCGAAAAGCTGCTCAGCACCATGACATCCAGAAATGCAAATGAGCCGAAACCGGTTTGGCTCAGCGGTAGAGCGTCGGTCTGCGGACTGAAAGGTCCCGGGTTCGATTCCTGTCAAGGCCATGTGCATTGGTTGCGGGCACATCCGCGGTAGGGGGTGTGCAGGAGGCAGCTGGTCAACGTTTCTCTCTCATCGACGTTTCTAGCTCTCTATCCCTCTCTCCTCCTCTCTGTAAAAAATCAATAAAATATATTTTTAAAAAAAGAAAGAAAAGAAATGCAAATGAAAGGCACAGTGAGATACCGCTGGACACACTATGGAAATGGCTTAAGGAAAAGGGATGCTACTGGTTAAGTGCTGGTGAGGATGTCTAGCAGATGGGACGTCCATGCACAACAGATAAAAAGGTTAGACGGGTCCAGCTGGCATGGCTCAGTGGTGGACAGGGTTCGAGTCCCAGTCAGGGCACGTGCTTGGGTTGTGGGCTTGATCTCCAGGAGGGGGCATGCAGGAGGCAGCCGATCAATGATGCTCTCTCATTGTTGATGCTTCTATCTCTCCCTTTCCTTTCCTCTCTGAAACCAATACAAAATATATTAAAAATAAATAAATAAATAAACAGCCCTGCCCGGTGTGGCTCAGTTGGTTGGGCATCGTCCCGTATACGGAAAGTTTGTGTGTTCAATTACCCAGTCAGGGCATGTACCTAGGTTTTGAGTTCAATCCCTGTTTGGGGCGAAACAACCAATGTTTTTCTCCCCCCTCTCCCCCCCATCTCTCCCATCTTCTCTCCCTTCTCCTCTTTCTGAAATCAATAAACATATCCTCAGGTGAGTTTTTTAAAAAAAATAGTTAAGTAGAGATCTAGCTATTTTACTTGTAGGTATTTACCCAAGAGAGATGAAGACCTAGGTTTATACAGAGGCTTGTATATGAATGTCCACAGTTCTATTTTAAAAATATATATATATATATATTTTATTGACATTTTACAGAGAGGAAGGGAGAGGGATAGAGAGTTAGAAACATCAATGTTGGTGAGAGAGAAACATCAATCAGCTGCCTCCTACACACTCCCCACTGGGCATGTGTCCACAATCAAGGTATTTACATGCCCTTGACTGGAATCAAACCCAGGACCCTTGAGTCCGCAGGCTGACCCTCTATCCACTGAGCCACACCAATCAGGGCTATAGCTCTATTTGTAATAGCTTAATGTGGAAACCACCCATTGGTTCATCAGCAGGGGAAAGGATACAGTAACCATGGACATCCCTTCCAGGAAAAGCATCTTGGCAATAAGAAGGAATAAATAATTTTGAGTGCAACGATATGGTTGCATCCAGCAGACATGCTGTTGAATGAAAGGAGCCACAATCACACCAGTACATGCTGTATGACTCCACGTTTATGAAGTTCTAGAAATTCGTGAAGCTAAACTGTGGGGACAGAAGTCAGATCCGTGTCTGGGGGCGGGGCTTGAGGAAACTTGTTGCGTGCTGGAAATGCACTTTATTTTGACAGAAGTGGTGGCTACTCGGGGACATGCATTTCTCAAAACGCATCAAACAGTACCTTTAACACGGGTGCATTTTATTTTATGTAATTTACGTCTCCATGCACGGAGAGGGCACCAAAAACAAAATAACGGTGTCAGCCCTGAGTGACTGAAAGGGCCCAGGGAGAGGGCAAGGAGAACCTGCTGGGTGCCCTTGCTTGAGGTGGCTGGAGACCCCGGACCCCTGTCCATCTCACCCCAGGCTGTGGGCTCCCTGGGGACCAGCCCCAGCCCAGAGCCCGTCATAGCGGATGGCACCATGAAATATCCGCTGTGGAACGGAGGAGGGTGGCTCTATTCCTGTCACGTTCCTTGTGGAAGGAGTATTTCCCCTTCTCCTCCGCTGGTTTATTTATTTTATTCTTTGGATGATAATGAGCTACTCTTAGACTTCATCTGACTGGCTGTTGTTCCATCTTTGGCCAGTAGGTGGGCTCATGTGCACCTAACATGCGCACTCCCCTCCCCCCTCTTTTTTTCATTTCCTTATTTTCTGCCACTGTGAGATGCCGCGGGTTCATTTTGTGTTCTCCCCGTCCGAGGCCTGGAATCTGGATTCTCCAAGAAGCCCTTTATCGGAGAATGGTATTCAGAAACCCAGGTCTCCCTGGGCAGTTTTTTATTTTATTTTATTTGCATTTCTCTAATTCTGAGTGGCACAAGCACTTTGGATTTTTGCATGTCCCTTTCTGAGAACTGACTTCTCACACACAGAACAACACACTTGCCAGGAAATTAGTCCTTTTTCTGAAATGCGAGTTACGAATGTTTTTTGCTGCTTCGTCATTTATCTTTCACCTTGCGGTTTTTGCCATACAGATTTTTTTCTTTCTTTTAGAACTTGCTGTTTTCTCTTTTAATCTATAAAAGTTTCCCTAATGCTCACCATCCTTACATTTGTGGGATGTGCCTTTTGCTAAATCTCTGGGTTCATTTAGGTAATATTTTTATTTTATTTGGGATGTTTGCCTTTGTTTTCACAAATAGAATGGACTTACAGGTTTGTGTGTGTGTGTGTGTGTGTGTGTGTGTGTGTGTGTTTAATTTTACTATTTGTGCTATCCTTTATGTAAGTCTTTCTTGTTTCCTAGTGAAGACACTTAAAGTTATATATTTTTCTCTGAGGACCAGTTCAGACACATGCCAAAAATATTGCTCTAGTTTTTACCCATTTCTAGATAGTTTGTAGTTTCAGTTTTATTTTTAAAAATATATTTTTATTTATTTCAGAGAGGAAGGGTGAGGGAGAGGGAGAGAGAGAGAGAAACATCAATGATGAGAGAGAATCATTGATTGGCTGCCCACTGCACACCCCACACTGGGGAGGCATCCCACAACCCCAGGCCAGGAATTGATCCCTGACCTGCTGGTTCACTGCTCAATGCTCAACCACTGAGCCACGCCCACCGGGCATAGTTTCTGTTTTAATTTCCTCTTTAATCTACATTCTGTCTTCTCT